TTACTAGAGACTAGATCTAGGGGGTACAACTCTAAACACCCATATGAAAAAGATCGGTTTACATTTTAATAATTAAATAAGAGCATAACCAATAACCCATAGCCAATAACAAATACATGTAACGTATTTTATTTATATTATATCTTATTTTACTATTTTATTTATGCATATTTTTTTATCTCTCAGGTTTAAAACGATATGTCTGGTTTACTGTCCTATAGTATACATTGGAATGATTTCAAACCTGTTTTATCCCAATAATTATAAAGGAGTGCCTTGGAAATATGTGTTTACATAAATTGTGATCAAAACGTTTGAGACCCACTGAGATAACTTAGACTAAAGTGAACTATCTAAACCCTCAGAGTCCTTTACCTCACTGAGCCTCTCAGTCTGACTGGAGAGGACTCTCCCTCCACATCATTGTAGAAACATCTTCTTCTAATATCCGTTAGAGCAGCTAGCACCAGATGCTAATAACAACAGCGCGTACCGGTCCCTTTCTCCCTCGCTCGCACTTTGGCTGTGAGCTGCGGTTGCCAGATAAGCCAACATCCCCCATTTTCATCACTTACAGCGCCCATCGTACAGGGCAAATGAAAAGTGTAACCGGGATGAAAAGGGTGTTACATTTACTTAATTATGAATGTTGTTACATCAAGGCTGAAAATTAGGATGAGTCAAAACATTTTTTTTTTCTCCCAGAGCTGTCAGCGCAGCGCCTCCACAGATCTGGCGCCCGAGGCGAACATTTATAACGGCAGTGCGACGGGCCGGCCCTGGTCCCAGGTTACGCTGTAGGAAGTGTAGGTACAACCGTAGATATATATAAACCTATGATATAAACACGTGTTTATATCATGGTTTATATATATCTATGGGTACAACGCTACATTTCCCGCCCAGCCGCAGTCATACAGTAGGCTACGGAGAGCGGCGAGAAACATTCCCTCAGGCATCGAAAAGCGGAACCGAAATTCACATTTCTAAATGATGCCGTTGGAATCGAAATGTTGGAACCAGTTCTCGGTACCCAACCCTAAAGGCAGGTGGAAAGCAAAGTGCACATTGAAAGTGTTAACCTGAAACACTTCAAGGTTCTTCCTCTTCTTTGTCCCGGGAGTTAATCAAAAATAAAGGCGAGAGCTGATTTCCCTTGAGATAATAATCACAGCAATGTCTGGTGATTTAAACACAAGGTGAACGCGTGCAGAATGCAGCTTTTATATTCAAACTGTCTTTGTAGTGTAAGGAATGCAATGCAATGCACAGGAAGGCATGTGGCTTTGTGAGCTCTGCACTCAGGGAAGACAAGGATCAATCACACACTCTCCAAAACTAACATCCTCTGCTTTCTGACAGGCTCTTCTAGCAATAAATGACTAATTGTACGGCAGATGGGAATAAGTACGCCTGCTTTTATTTTTATGAGCGCCTATACAAGTAATTACCTGTTAATGTCGGCTATTTCTTTTAGTACTGGACCGGTGTGAGCACAAACAGTTCAGTGTTTTCTACATAAATAAACATTGTGACATGTTAATGGTTGCCATAAGAACAAAAACAGAAGAAAAACACCTCGCATGGAAATTGTTTTTGTTGCACGGAAACTTGTGACATCCATTGGAGTCGTTTTAAGCGCGAGCTGCTGCGAGGTGAGGTCGTTTCAGGGCACATTTGTTTTATCAGAAGCTCATTAGTGGAGATGAAAACAGGGCGGCTTTTAAAGTCATTTGAAGTTCAGAGAGTAATGGCATATTCAAAGACACTATAACGCCCTACCATCGTATTGTGTGGAAGGCATTCACGATAAATCAAAGTTTACAAACTAATGAAATAAACAAGAGGCATGAACCCTGAATAAAGTGATGGGAAAGTTTAATCTCAGGGTTCATACACTTTTTCACCAATGACTTCTCCAGGACTTCTCAATGACTTCTCAATGACTTCTCCATGACTTCTCAATGACTTCTCCATGACTTCTCAATGACTTCTCCATGACTTCTCCATGACTTCTCATGACTTCTCATGACTTCTCCATGACTTCTCCATGACTTCTCCATGACTTCTCCATGACTTCTCCATGACTTCTCCATGACTTCTCCATGACTTCTCAATGACTTCTCCATGACTTCTCCATGACTTCTCAATGACTTCTCCATGACTTCTCAATGACTTCTCCATGACTTCTCCATGACTTCTCAATGACTTCTCCATGACTTCTCAATGACTTCTCAATGACTTCTCCATGACTTCTCCATGACTTCTCCATGACTTCTCCATGACTTCTCCATGACTTCTCCATGACTTCTCCATGACTTCTCCATGACTTCTCCATGACTTCTCAATGACTTCTCCATGACTTCTCCATGACTTCTCCATGACTTCTCAATGACTTCTCAATGACTTCTCCATGACTTCTCCATGACTTCTCAATGACTTCTCCATGACTTCTCAATGACTTCTCCAATGACTTCTCAATGACTTCTCAATGACTTCTCCATGACTTCTCAATGACTTCTCCATGACTTCTCAATGACTTCTCCATGACTTCTCAATGACTTCTCAATGACTTCTCCATGACTTCTCCATGACTTCTCAATGACTTCTCCAGGACTTCTCCATGACTTCTCAATGACTTCTCCACGACTTCTCCATTACTTCTCAATGACTTCTCCATGACTTCTCCATGACTTCTCCAGGACCTTTACCTGATTTTCCATGACCAAAACAACGACTCTTTCTCAGCGGTACCACTGAAAATGGTTTATTTGAACATGGAACAGGAACATAAGGTCTGCATATGAAACATGTGCCTATCTAAAACAAATCCAACAGGCCTACTTTTTTGAATCTTAACCCGGACAAAGAAAGCAGATCACATCACTCCAGTGCTGAGATCGCTGCATTGGCTTCCAGTTAGTGAGAGAATTGACTTTAAGATTTTAATGCACACATATAAAGCACTAAACGGGCTAGGACCCAAATGTATCAAGGACCTCCTTCAGTGGTAGGAACCCAGCAGACCTCTTAGGTCTTCAGGCCAGCTCACTGTTCCATTGGTGAGAGCGTGGGGAAGCAGCCTTCTGCATCTATGCTCCTGATGCGGAACAAACTCCCAGAACATCTGAGAATGGCTAGCACTTTAGAATCATTTAAATCAGGTCTAAAAACATTTCTTTTTAATATGGCTTTTCAAATTTAAATGGTTTTCTTGCTTTTAATGAATTATTTTGTGTGTTTTGTATTTCTTCTCAATGTATTGTGTTTTCTCTGTCTGATCCTGTAAAGCACTTTGAATTGCATTACTGTATGATTTGTGCTATACATATAAATGGCCTTGCCTACTAGCTTCTACACGCTAAAGCAACTAAAATCTCTCACCAGCAAAATACCTCGTCAGTTAAATGCCATTTTACGCTTCATTACCGATACAGTATGTATTATCATTATAGTATTACTATTTCGCCGATTAGCTAAAATATAAATTATATTTGATGCAACTTTAGTTACATTTCCATGACTTTTCCAAAACTCTGGGAAAAATATTGTTTTCCAGGGCCTGGAATTTGCATTTTGAATTTCCATGACTTTTCCAGGTTTTCAATGACCATAAGACCCCTGTGTTAAAACACCTGTAGCATACACTATACTGCATATACTAACTACTGTATAATCACAGTTAAATAGAGGCTTTAAATACAGGAACATGCACTACAATTGAATGGAAAGGATTGGAAGATGCTTAACAGGATAGAAGTAAATGCCATCTATTTCCGTCGATTTTGAAACAAGCTATAGTCTTTTTAAACTGGTGTACGTCTTCCTTCAATATGTTCTGTATTATCTTTCTAATATAATTGATATCCCGTGTGTCCTACTGTATAGCCTCCGTGCTGTTTGGTGCAGATGGAGATTCTGGCAGTTCCTACCTTAATATAGCAAGATTTACAAAATAATATCATGAATATTGATTTAAAAACAGACAGAAATGTGTTGTTTTTTTGCTGAATTTGAGGGATTGGAAGATGCTTAACAGGATAGAAGTAAATGCCATCTAGAAATAGAAAGGTCTGCATATTTTGAAACAAGCTATAGTCTTTTTAAACTGGTGTACGTCTTCCTTCAATATGTTCTGTATTATCTTTCTAATATATATCCTGTGTGCCCTGACGTATAGCCTCAGTGTTCAGGTCCAAAACCACCAGAGACAGTTTCATTTATTTATATTTATTTATATGTTGCACTGTTGGAGCAGCCTGTGACCTAAGATATTCATTGGCACTGTAGCTATGCACACATGACAATCAGGGGCGGTTCTAGGGGGGGCCAATGCCCCCCTAACACCGACCTCTGACCCCCCTGTGGCCCCCCTAACAATGACAAGTTTTTTTTTTTAAATGTATATTTTCTGGTACTCAGGATTTTGTTGGTGTAATGTAAGATTGTGCAGACACCCTGACACCATTGCCTTTATTTTTATATAAATATGGTGTGAGTGTAAACATTGCACAATAACTTAAGCTGAAGCTAACAGTAATAACTATAAGATCTATCTGAAATAAATAAGTGTACTGAAACAAATACCAATAACTGGATTGCATTGTTTTCTTATGCGCAATTACTTCATACTGTCTAGTTCTCTTTTTCGTCCTGCATTTATTGTGCCCCCCTCAGAAAATAACTGGCCCCCCCAGTGGCCCCCCCAGTCAAATTGGTCTAGAACCGCCACTGATGACAATAAAAGCCTTGCATCCTTGATATTTAACCTTTGGTATCGTACAAACTTGTATCATCTCAGCCTCCTCTGACCTCAGCATTGTTGAAGGACTAATACACGAACTCACTGGCAGATTCCACCTTTGTTATTGTACAAGGTCTTATCAAACATCCAACCAGGCTACAACACAACTCTGTCTCCTCTCACCTCATATCCTTATATCCTTTGTTTATAACCTATAGCCTCAGTGCTGTATGATGCAGATGGAGTCTCTTCCTACCTTGTCTCCGTCCGTGAAGGCCTTGCCGTCGCTCGCTCTCCTCCAGGAGATGTCGGGCAGCGGCTCGCCCTCCGCCCCGCAGGAGATCATGGCGGCGCTGCCCTCCACCGCCGTCACGTTCTTCAGCTGCGTGATGTGGGGCTGGACTGTGGGAATAAGAGGGAAGAGATAAAGACAGTTGTTGGGAAAACACTGAATGTCCTCTTCCAGTATGAGAGTAGCATGATAACAAAGGCATCCCAACTGCAGCTGTGAACATGACAGGATGTGTGATTACCTAGAAGAGCATCAGGACTGTTTGAGGCAGATGATAGCTATGTGATTAACATGATGATTCAGCCTCTATGGAGAGAGACGTGACACAACCCTCATGGCCGACATTTAAAAGAGTATTACATGTGAGTGTCAAGAAAGACTTTTGTTCTGGAAGTTTTCCTTATCCAGCACGGCGTGAATAGCTTTCTGAAAGTGCTGCAAAGATAAGATGCTCTGAGCAAGCCCTGAAACACACACACACACACACACACACACACACACACACACACACACACACAAACACACACACAGAGTAGTGAATGGAAAATAGTGAGTACTGTACTGGAGGCTCTTAACACCGCCCGGGGGATCTGAGGAGTGTTGGCAATTTCACGTGGTGTTCAACCGCCGGCTGGAGAAACTCCTCTGGGGAGCTTGTCAAAACATTGGGACACACACACACACACACACACACACACACACACACACACACACACACACACACACACACACACACACACACACACACACACACACACACACACACACACACACACACACACACACACACACACACACACACACACACACACACACACACACACACACACACACACACACACACACACACACACACACACACACACACACACACACACACACACACACACACACACACACACACACACACACACACACACACACACACACTTTATTACTTTACCTACAAGGGCTCTCAGTGGGTGGATCAGTGTTGAGACAAACATAACCACTACACACACAGCTGTTACTATTAATAACCAAAGCTATTTCCCACTGGTTTGTTTAGAACTAAATAATAATAATAATAATAATAATAATAATAATAATAATAATACATGACACTTACTGTAGCGCTTTTCTAGAAACTCAAAGACGCTTTGACAGTTACACAAATACGAAGAAAATAGGTAAAGAGACACAAACAGGTCATTTTGGTCGTCATTTCTATGAAATATGACGGGGGGTTACGGCATGAAAATGCACACATTTCTTCCAGGGCTCGAGCTTAAGGACGTCCCGTCGTCCCGGGGCCGATACAAAATAATTTTGGGACGAATTTGGGACGAGAGTTAAAATAAAAATACCCTGCTAACTCTACTACAAATGGCGATGAAAATGAAACCGACTGCACGTTTTGTGTAGCAGTTATTAAACCTCATTGTCAACATAAACACACACGCACAAAACATTTAGCAACCCGCGAAATACACACACACACACACACACACACACACACAATGTACGTGGCTACAGTACATTGTAGCCACGTACAGCCAGCTGTCAGCCAGCGGTACTGTCAGCCAGCGGTACAGCTGGCTGTGCCCGCGAATTCCTGGCCCGCAAATTCTCGGGTCTAGCTATGTACTGAGTGTGTGTATTTCGCGGGTTGAGTGATGTACAATGGCATCCCGTGGAGGAATTCTGAAATGTTTTACCGTTACATCACAAAAACGCACAGCAGAACCAGACCCTGGAGCGCCGGCCTCTTTATTTACTTACTCCTCTTCATCCCCTATGGGTAATAAGGCTGAGATGAGAACTCTCCATCGTATTTAATCCTTAGCAATATGCTGCGTCTCTCCCCATGTAGGGATGGGTACCGAGCCCCGGTATTAAACGGGCCGGAATTATTAAAGACAGTGGTAACGTTAAGCTCCGACGTTATCGGACTTTTTGTCGGTACTGGAGACATTTAAAAAATGTCATATGTATTATTGCTACATACACATTATATCGCAGTTTTATTTTCACCAACTCCGTTTGTAATATGCAATAAGACTACAACATGCGTCTATGATGTATTTTCGAGCTTTCCAATCCAGACGAGATCTCTCTCTCCCGTCTGTGTGCGAGGGGGCGGGGCCGTTTGTAAAGGTCTCCTGACTGTGTTACAGACTGTCATCCTGGTTAGTGGTTACTCTGGGTTCTGTCTTCAGGACAGTGTTGGATTGTTTGGTTAATTGGATGGGACTTGATTGGATTCAATATTAGAGTAATTTTCTCGTTTGTGTTTGTTTAAATATATTTGGCCTTTGTTTCTGTGATTGAAGGATTTACTCAAATAAAAAGGTTGATGAATTATCATCTAATGATTTGTATGATGTTTTATTTATGTTAAAGGTCACTTTGAATGATTTAAACTAATGATAATGTAGAAAAACTAACATTTTAAATTCGGGACGGTCCACATTAATTTCGGGACGGCTTGGATTGTATTTCGGGACGGTTCCGGGAGGATGGGGAAAAAAGTTAGTCGAGAGCCCTGATTTCTTCTCCCTTGTATTAACTGGCATTGCATCCAAACGTAATGGAAAGTAATCAGGTTACAAACTTTTAAAAATAGCTATATTTAGATGTCTTTGCCCAACCATTTAAATACTAGAGGTGGAGACAATATCGGTACCAACTGAAATGGCCTTCTTTAAATGTAAGAAGACACGCATTGGCTTCAGCTGATATTCAAATGCATTTATCTTAACTATCCCTCTTATTTAAAGCAGTATTTCGTACCTTACTCACCAAATCATCAAGTTAGACATTCTGTTCAGATTTATTTCTCTGTCTCCTCTGCAAAACAATGGATTGTCAGAAGAGCGTTCATGTTCAAAGCCCCAACCGACTGGAATACTTGACCTGCTGCCATTAGATCTCTGTCATCATTGGGTTTATTTAAACATGCATTATCATCTCACTTTCAACTGCTCTGTACTTGTTATAACTGATATTGATGAAACTGATTTGTCTCAAATTGTAATGATTGTGTGCATTGCTTGCATTTTACTTAACAGACTGTATGTGGTTTGTCTTGTGTGTCATGTTTTGCATTTTTGTTTCTGTCTGTCTGTAAGTTGTTGCTATTGTCGGGACCCCCTTGAAAACGAGATCTCAAGGGGTTTATCCCAATCAATAAAAATGTCTATATAACAATAGACACATTTGACATAAAAACAACCCTATCGTTAACTAAAGACAAACCTAACCACTATACGCAGCTGTTACTATTAATAACCAAACCTACTACCCGTCGGTTTGATGAAGGACTGGTTTTATTTCTGTCATTTAGTTACGGTATGAAAAAGCCATGTTATTGACATTTCTTCTCCCCTTGTATTCATTGGCATTGCATCCACATGTAATGGAAAGTAATCATGTTACAAACTTTAAATGTCTAATCCAGTGCTTCTCAAACTGTTTTCAGTCAAGCACCCCCTGACCGACCCCGAACATTTTTGATCGAAAAAGCCTATACAAATAATTCCAATATAGTGATGTTCCCTCAGTGTGTGATGTATTAACTCCTTCCTGCATGCATTACAACAAACTAAGGATATTTTCATTTTAAATTGTCTGATATTAATCTTAGTGTCTGTAATAAGTTAAAATATCTTGGACACTTTATTACAGAACAAATGAGATGATGAAGATATTTATAGGCAATGCCGCATGATGTGCACAAGCAAACATTCTCCTACGTAGGTTTGGTGCATGTACAGATGGAGTGAAGATGTCTCTGTTCAGAGCATTTTGCACACCGCTCTAAACGGCACATCTGTGGGTCAAACTACAGAAAAGCAAGTTTATGGAAACTTCAAGTAGCTCATAATGATGCCATGAGGATATTGCTGAAGAGACCTCGATGGTCTAGTGCAAGTGAAATGTTTGTGGCTGCAGGAGTCAATACTCTACAAGCTGTTTTAAGAAGTCTCATGTATAAATGTATTTGCCGGCTTAATGACTGTGATAATGAAATCCTCTTGGCCTTATCGAACATAAGGTTTAGTACTAACTACACGCTACCAATCGCAGCTGTGGAGACATTTGTATCTCTTTGTAGGACACTGATTTAAATTATTCTTAAACTATGAATTCTTTTTATGCTGTGTATGTAATTTATTATATGTAATGTCTTGTCTTTTATCTGGACCCTGAGTCTGTAATAAAGTTTTAATAATAATAATAATATGACAAGGAAACATTTGATATCTGCAACGTTTTTACCTGTATTAGATGATGACCTGCTAGACATGAACGCCTCTGACCAATGCCTAAAGAGCTTGGATACTGTGGACCATTGTGCCTTACGATTTATCACTGGATGTGGATATCGAGTACACCATTGCACTTTATATGCTGCTGCTAATTGGCCATCTTTGTCTGCTCGCAGACTTTCCCATTGGTTGGGTTTTATTTATAAATCTCTGCTTGGGTTGGTTCCCTCCTACATTTGCACATATATGTGTCAAAGAGAAAGTCTATGGCCTGCGCTCCCAAGATGTGATTCAGATGCTGGTCCCTACAGTGAGAACACAACTGGGTAAAACAGCTTTTAAACATGCGGCCCCCACAGCTTGGAACAGAAGGAGCTGAAACTCTCAGATGTAATCACTATGGGGGAATTCAGGTCCATCTTAAAGGACAGAGAACACGACACCATTGGTCGATGTGAGTGCTCGTATATCCTGAAATCGTTTTATACTTCGCATATTGACTGTGCCATTTTATTTGTGTTTTACAGCTGTGTTTGTCTGCCTGTCATGTCTGTGTTTTATCTGTTGTAACTTCGTTCATGCTGCCCTTCTTGGCCAGGTCGCTCTTGGAAAAGAGATTTTAATCTCAATGAGTCTTTTACCTGGTTAAATAAAGGATATATATTATGCATGAAAAAAATAACATAACGACATTTTTTTAAACTGATTTTTCCAAGGAGTTTTTCAACTGAAGTAATATCTGTTTAACAAAATGATATATTATGCAAAACTATAAAATACAATACACAAATTCGACATGTTTATATGAGGACCCCCTTAGTGGTTCTAGGAATATTTTATACAACATTGTGTTTTCTATT